CCTCCCCACCCCCAGCCCCAGCCCCCACACTCATACGAAGTGAAGAACAACGGCCCCCTGTCCCTTGCTTCCAGGTAGAAAACACATGCACATGAGTAATTTAGGTTATACGTACTTCCCTCGCAAAAAAAGTGACATCAGTCAAGACCGCTGCGGGTCAAGAGGAGTTGATTCTTCCCAACGAATAACAAATGCTGTCACAGTGAAAGCTTTGATGGATTAAATCTGAGAGCGAGTCAGATTTGAATTTTGTTTTTTTCCCTCTTTTTTTTTTCTTTTTTGTATTTATTAAGATGAAGTTCTTCTTGGGATGAAAAAAAAAAAAAGGACTTTGGTTGTTTCAGAATGAACACATCTGAGTGTCGGTTTCTCGATGGATAATGCTACGCGCCCTACATGTGGATCTATCGGGTGAGTGAGGCACCTTTGGCCCAGTGGGGACTGGGATCTTGTTTTTGCATGCCGGGAATCAAGGTCCAAACAGGCACGTGATAGGCCAAGATGATCATTACTGGACTCTGCATGCTGAGCTAGGAGACAAATCCTTTTTTATAATAATCTTAATAATAATAATAATAATAATAATAATAATAATAATAATAATATATCATCTAGTCCTTTAAAAAGTTATGATTTTTAAAAGTAATTTCTCCCTAAGTTTTATACAGACACACAGATGCACTAAAAGCCATCTGGGGTACAACTGCTGCAAAGTGGGAACAGCAGTGACCTTGTCCATGCTTTAGATCGCTGAACCAAATAGGGACGCAGCACGTATAAATAAGACCTATTGGTTGTCAGCCATGTTTGTTTTCTCTGCTTTTAAGTAGATGCCGCCATAACACGGCCGCCGTTTGCTGCAGTTATAGACCATCTGGGTCGAAGCCACAAAGCCTTGCTTCAGTGTCCAAAGAAGTCGGTGAATGAGGAACTGAGGCCTACAAGGCCTAGAGATATTTCCTAGAGCCCACGCTCTGAAATAAGGTTAAAGAAAAATAGACTTCAGGTTTTTTTTTTTTCTTCTTCTTTTCCCTTTTTCCTTCGTTCACTGGAGTAGGCGGACCGAACCGCCGGTGGGACACAGATAGTGATATGTATACACCATTCCTTACAGCGCTCTCCTACCCACCCACACGCACATCTGTTTAGAAATATTTGTGTTTTTGTGTGAGTGAGCGTGTGTGTGTGTCTGTGTGTTTGTGCATGTACAGGGAGCTCCTCGCATTGATTGCAGCCACGGTAATTAGCACTTCATCAACTATGATTACGGGAGCCGTCTGCCAGCCTCCGATGTGTTTCTATGAGCCGCGGAGAAGCTGCACAAACTTTCTTCGACTGCTTTTCTTTTTTTTTTTTTTTTGGTGTACGCATGTCGTAGACAAAACAAAACAAAACCAAAAAGGAAAAAAAAAGTTTATTTGGGCTCTTTCAAGTGCGTACTGGTATGCTTCAAAGTTTGTTGTGTTTCTTAGAAAAAAATCATACAACTCCTCTTGCAAAAAGTTTTCTAGTTTCCCTTTTGACAAAAACTAACTGTATGTTGACCAGCATTAGAAAGAGAAGGAAAGGGGAACGTACTTGTAAAAAATATAGGACAACGGTCCAAATATTTACTCTGTCTATACAGTCTCTATCCCAGAACAAGGCTGGTGAACTGTGATATAGAAAATAGATCTGAAGGTACACGGCCTCCGCTCTGACAGGGCATTATAGAGAAAGGAGGTCCTTCCGACGAAGCCAGCCAGCATCAAGCGTCAGTGTGAGCCGCGTGTCATTCAGTTCAATTATCGCAATTTCAAAGGGATCTAAAGGCATTACAGGATCAGAGGTCTTCTTCCCTCCTGTGCTGGACAGGCCGAACCATCGCAGAATCAGTCTGTGCTGACATAGCCAGAGAAAGGAAGTAGGAGGAGGAGGAGGAGGAGCAAGAGAATAAGAGAAGGGAGTCTCGGCTGGATGTTATCCGCAGGAAAAAAAAAAAAAAAAAGAGGGTTTGGAGACTAGCTGGAGAAAAAAATTAAAAAAAAGAACCTCGCCTCTGTTTACATTCCTCCCCTCCCGCACATGCACTCCCACCAGGCACTGGTCAGGTGTGGCTATGTGGCTGGTTTGTCGGGCTTGCTGACAGGTTTGCCTCCGTTCATCACCACCGGCTCGCTTGTGCTTTTACTGGGAGGCACGGCCGCCTTGGGCACCGTCTCTCCGACGTCGTGCAGCGATGGCTCTCTGTACATGGCGACTGGAGGGAGACAAACGGGGAGATAAGACGAAAGCCGTTAGCAGTGATCTGTCCTCTTCCTCTTTATTGAGTTGAGATCTGTTCCTGAATAATATGTTACGTACAAATTAAATACTTTTTTAAAGAAACATAAAAACTACTCTTAAAAGTGCAATTTCCTGATGTAAGAAATGGTACACTCAATAAAGGTTAAGATTCTATACTTTCATTCTGATTTATTTATTCCTTGACTTTAAATCTAAGTACCAGCTTTTCGACCCAAAAAGAAAAAAAAAGAAAAAAAACAGGCTCCCCTCTCCCATTTTGCAGCTTGCACACCCCAGCTGTATTACCGCATTGACAAGACACTTCACTTTGTTTCCGTGTTTCGAATGACGGGCGGCAATCAGGGCCGGCGGCTGATGAGAGCGACGGTGGCATGTGCAGGACCATCAACATTTCATGCTGCACTCACAGAGCTGTCTCTGCCTCCTATAGCGCATCCCTCCAGCAGCGGTGCAGTGAATCAGCACACAAATACGAATACATGTCGAATGCAGTCGTTTCGTTTACAGCGGGCATACCATCGGTAAGTCTTCTATCAGGTCTTATTGTGTGAGACAGCTGTCTTGGTATATCACAAGGATCACGGATGTTGTCGCGCTCAGCGTTTTCAGTTTTCTATGTTTAGCAAGCAACATATTTGAAACGTGCTCTGCTGCACAGTCAGTTGGACGGCTAGCAAAGCTTGCTGCATTAGTGACCTCTGGGGAAAAAAAAAAAAATCCATTTACCAGAAGGTTGTACAACCAAAAAAATTAAAAAAATTAAAAAAAGCATCGCGATGATAAATATATTCAAGCGTCGCGTTCGAGTTATATTTTAATGGAAAAATTTGAAACCCAAGTAAAATGTCTTGGATGCAGGGCCTTGCACATGCAGTCACACTGCAAACCTTTCACGTTTGTTGCATTATCGATACAAACATCAATGTATTTTATAATGATTTCACATACTAGACCAAAACAAAGTTGTGCATTACTGTATTGTGAAATGGAAAAAAAAAAAAAAAAAAAAAAACGATTCACTGCATTTTTACACATAGAAACCTAAAATGTGCATTTGCATTACATCCCTTGAGGAATACTTTGAGGAACTACTTTTTACTACAAATACAGCTGCAAGTCTTTATTTTTTTGGATATATCTCTCCTAGTATCGAACACCTGAAGGCTACCACTTCCCCCCACTCTCCTTTGCAGACTGAGCAGAGCAGATGTTTTTGGACATTCATTCTAAAACTCGATTACAAAGAAACAACACTTTTTTCTGTTTCTTTTCAGATTTTTAATTGTAAACAGTTCCAAAACCGTGTATCATCTTCCTCTCCATCTCAGTTCCCTCTACTTTGCGTCGGTCCATCACATAAAACCCTAAAGGAATATTCTAAAAAATCTGCATCTGAGGACGCTACAGTGTGAACTAAAATGCCACGGAGACGTTTGCTGAGCTCACGTACCTTCTAATGGCTTGGGCAGGAAGTGAGCAGCTGGTTTGGTTTTTTTCACTCGGTTCCCCTTCATGGCTTGGCCCTCCTTGTTGAGCCCCAGGAACCATGCTCTCCCTGACTCCTGCTGTCTGTACAGCATGGACGAGTAGATCACGTAGTAGTTCTCGAACACTGACTCTTTGAACTTGCATTCCGCTGTAAATAGTTCCTGCAGAGACGGGCGAAAGAAGCACATTGCAGGTGTCACGGATTTTAAGATCAAAGTTAATCCGAAAGATTTATCCTCACGATTTTTAAACAACAAGCAGAAGAATTGTAATTTACACAGCGTGGGTGGGGTGGGGGTCACCTGGGCAGCGTTTCACTCGTGTATCGTGCTCACGGTGAACAGAAAATGGCCTTGGCATGTGGGATGAAGCTCATGTTCGCTGCCTGACTTGAAAAGGACGAGCTCCGCACAGTGTCCCTCGTTATAATCATCTTCAATGAAATGCTCCCCTCATGCTCTCCTTGGCCTTAACCCTGACATCACATGTAAAAGCCATCGTCTCGCCAATTAGCGCATGCTCCAGGCAGAATGTGTGTATTGTTCGGCGTCGACATCGACGGAGCTGGTAACGAGAAACCCAGTCCACCCAGATGTCAAGCTGATCCCGCTTTGCCGTTTCATCTTTCCTCATCTCTTTATTTAAAGGAAAAACGAAAAACCCAGAAACGTCTAAACGTGATCTTTCCTATTGAATATATTTCAACTGACAGCTACTTAATTATGAATACTAAACTTTCTTCGAATCATGACAGAAATAACCCAGTGATTACTCTATCCTTCACACCTCGGCCAGGCAGTGACAAACGATCACCGAGGCACCTCCTCTCTCTCTGCTGTTACCGATCCATCTTTGACAGTATGGCAAAAAGAGAAAAAAAAAAAGCATTTCTGCGCTGTCCACACTGCCAGGCTAAAAATAAAGCCTTTCATTTGGGGGTAAATTAATCAAAGAGCACTCATCACAATGGAGAGGTCCAGCACATCTGTGGGGAGTATTTCATACTGTGCTCAACCACAGAACCACTGGCATATACATCATAAAACTCCTATCCGCTGTGCACTTCTGTAGTTCTAATAGTCAAAGTTAAAAGTTCTTTTTTGCTTTCTTAGTTAATAGGTTTTCTAAAGTAACAGGCAATTAGCAAATTGGAGAATATTTACGAGCACCGTCGTGTGGTTTCTGTGGAGTTAATGCATAGATGGTAATCAGTGAATATTTGTACAAATTTATTTTGAGTCTGTTTTGATTCCAAACAGATAGCAGGAGGTGTCTCCAACATATTGGAGGCGTCTCAATATGATCCCAAGTATTGGCTTAGGGCTCTAAAAATGTAATTTTGAAATTGTCGGTGTCGAGAGTCCTCGAGTCCCAAATTCAACAACAACCTCACAAAGGTGGCCTCGAGTTGTCGGTGGCCTCTTTGTGATTTTACGTCAGGAAAAAGCCCAGCAAACCATTTGACTGACTATTCTTAAAACAATCTCAACTTATTTTTTATGTGCTCTGCTTTGAAAATGGTATTAGTGTTTCTATAACACTAATACCATAGAAAAACTGCATGGATTGCAACAGTTTCCCCGTCTGTCTGCAACAGCTGACCAGCTTGCTTTAATAAGGCAGCTGTCAGTGTGGGAGAAATGCAGCCGAAACTCTAGCGATTGCATTTTATGACATTCAAAGCAAAGTTCTTTGGGTCTGGATGTGCTTCTGTTGTGAAAACTGTGTGTAAAATGAGGTCATTGAGATGAAATTCACAGCGTCCTGCTCCGCTACGACCAGGCTCCTTAGTTTTCAATAACTGTGGCGTAACAAAAAAGTAACATACCTCGTCTTGGAAAGGCTTCGTACGTAGAGCATAACCAGGTGTGTTACTTTTACGATTCCATTATGTCACTGTCTCATTTAAGTTTATTTCTTTTTCATCTGGGACATTCTGTGAATTAAATTTCAATTCTCCATACGTGAACCCAACCGATAACATGCGTTTAGCTAAATTGTTCGAATACAAAATGATGGCTTCAATGTCACTTCAGAGTGTGAGATAGTCGTGCTTTTACTGGGTCGCTGCTGCAATGTGAGTCAATGTTGTTTTTCATGATCACCTAGAACTGACTCTTGCGCAATAGGTGCAAGTCCATTTGACTAACTTTATTGAAATATTAGTGTGATAGGACATTATTGGACAAAAAGCCTAAATGTCAGATCAGTATTCAAGGCAAATATATATTTATTTGGAACATCCCTATTAAATGTGAAGACAGTTTCAAATAAAAATGTAAAAATGAATGGGTACTAGATTGTCTCGTCTATGTTTGCTGTTCTAGGCTGTTCTGATTGGTTAGCTGCACTGACACAAGTCACCTGTCAACTTTGTTGTTGGCATTTTCAGAGAGTTAAGCAATATTTGTGGCCAAATCCTTAGGATGTTTAACACAAGTTTACTTCTAACTTCAAATTTTTAGTCCACTGAAAGGCAAAATTGAAAAAAAATGACTAAACTATCGATAGAGAAGGCGCTGACAATGAAAGAAGTGTCACAGTGAGTATCTATTCGAAGTGCAAAGTTTCTCCAGTACTGACAGTTTATTTGTTTCCTGGTTACAAGTTAAGTTGAATAACTTACAAGTTATTCAACTTGTAAGTGAATAACTTACAAGTTGAATAACTTGTAAGTTATTCAACTTGAATAACTTACAAGTTATTGTAAGTTACTGGTATGGTAGAAAATAAAAATAAATAAATAAGATACACTTTGTCTTTAAAAATGTCGTTAACACTTTATTTGAAGGGGGTTGAATAAGACTGACATGACACTGTAATAAACATAACACCTGTCATGAATATGAATAAGCCTTCATGAATATTTATGACTGTTGTCATAAAGCGTCATTCGGTAAATTATGACACTTTTAATACAAAGTTGACATTATTCAAAATGTCTTTGTTATGACAACTTGACATTAACCAAGAAATCATTACTGATATAAATTTGTTATAAAAGTATTACTGATTGCACTTTAAAAATTAGGTAACTTTATGTTATTAAAGGTAAAGTTTAAACAGTAATGTCAAACTGCGGCACATTTTGCTGTTTACGACCAGTTTTGAACTCAGGACACACACTCTCTCATGATTATCATCTAATTACTCCTGTCAGAGCTTCTTCTCCAGACAGCATTTGGCTGACAAGAGGAGCTGAGCAAGAAGAAGCAAAGAGACGTCTCGGGTGACATTAATGAACCCAGGGAGCACCCAGCTGTATTTTGAGTGTCCTCTGTATCCTTGGTCGAGGACTTGTGGGCATCTCTGAGTGGAGGGCTCGAATGCATAATGCGGCGCGACAGCAACAGCTGACATGTCGGAAAGCTCCAGAGGAGGAGCGTGTTCAGTTCCAGCTGAAAACAGTCAAAGCAGCTACAGCAGGGACTGAAGGGTCAGAGCGGTGATTTGTTGCATGTGGGGTGATAAATGTCCAGACTTTGCTCTGTCTGCTGAGAGATTCTGTTGCACAAGAGATGTACGATCCCACTGTTCTCGTTGTAAACGGTGGGATCAGAAACAGGACTGAAAGCAGACAAAACAATAGATTTATGGTCGCTTTGATGGCTGAAGTATTAAAAACTGAGCCTTATATGACTTCAAGATGAGGGTGTCTCAGCTGCAAATATTAAATAATAGCTTAAAACAGCTTTTTCTGTGCATGCTTTGAAAATATGAGAAGTGTTCAAGTAAGCAGGTGAGGGACTGAGATTTATTTACAGAATTGACCTCGACTTGTAAAATTATACACATCCCAAGAGTATTTTCAAATTGTATCACATTATGTCTAAAACCTTAAATGTATTCTATTAGGATTCTGTGCAATAGGCTGTCACAAAATTTTAAAGTGTTAGGAAATTGAAGCATGACTTTCAAAAATGCTCTATAATCGTTAAAAAAATCTGACAAGTGTAGCATGAATTTGTATTTAGCCACTTTGATGGGAGTAAAGATGACAACCGGAAGATGGAGGACCATCCAGAGAGGGAAAGTTGAAGACAGGCGCAGACCTTTACCTTACTGCAGGACAGCAACCCTAATCATACAGCCACAGCTCCAGTGGTTTTCATAAATAATATTTATGAGTTTGAGTGGCCCAGTAAAAGGTTAGACCTAAAGCCAAAGGACAAACCTGTCTCCCTGTGCACAATCTATTTCACTAGACTAACAAACCCGGTAGAGACGCATCCCAGAAGACTTGCAGATAAATGTGGTTCTACAAAAATTGGAGTCGGGGGCGGGGGGCTGAATGCAAACTGTGTGGCACACTTTCTAGCTTTCATTTGTTCAACATTCAACAAAACCACATCCGCAAGACATTATAAATCATTTATTACAGAGGATGTGTTTATTTTTAAAACAATGCGCTGCTTGAGCTTTAGCCAGCTATCATAAGCAAAAGGACATTTCCCCGAACCAAATAAAATCTGGTCTAAAATGATGGCTAAACATGCCCTGTTCATGCATTAACAAACCACAAACCACAAAACAAAGCAATAAAATGACTCCCCCCCCCACTTGTGGTTTCGAGAGTTACTTTAAATTGTTAATCACTGACATTTTTCCCTGATAAGGTGAGCCGAAACCCCATCTAGGTTCCTGTAATAGCCCACATCGTTCAGACGGCAGCCAGGTTTGGCACGGCGGTGATTACTTATGTAACACATACAAAACAGCCCTGAGTAGAAGTAATCATACAAGCTGGTGCCAAGGCCGTAATTGTTGCTAATCAAATGCCTTCACATAAGCACAAGTTGCTTTTTTTTTCTTCTTCTTCTTCTTCTTCTCCTTTGTTTATGGAGGCTGAACATGCGGAGGTGGTTTGCTTGTGGAACGAGAAGGCCACTGTAATCAGCTTCATTTGTAGCTCAGAGCGGCGAAGGCAGCCGATGTCAGATGCATTGTTTACTGCTGATGTTTTAAGTGTGTCAGTGGCGCGTTGAAGGCTTTTACCGCGCTCATCGTGTTGCCACAAATACATTTCCTTTTCCTTCTGACATTTTTCCCCTCATTTCATCACATTAGCACCCAGAACTCAAGGATACCTAGGCACTGCAGACAAGAGACTCTTTTTTTTTTTTTAGCAAATTATCATGAAGAACTTGTTTGAGCTGCAGCC